CTTTCCTTTCCTTCAGAAGAGAAAAATATTCCAATCATGCAGAGAGTTATTTTTGAAAGTTTACTGCAACAAAGGGAGTGGAATGGTTTCCTTCCCATCTTCCAACTCAACTCAGCACATGTTCACATCTCATTTTAATGCCCTGCCCCCACATCCCCTGCTTCTCCCTCCTCTTTTCCCCCATTGGCCAGGTTACTGGATGGTCACAAATCTTTTCCGTCCGCCTATCCTGTGCCACTGATACCTATTCTTCCCTCCCACTTGGTCCCTCCCAGGTGAATTACACTGAGCTTATTTTCTATGCAGGGTGTGTTTAACAGTCATGAGGTCATTCACTGAGCCAGTTTCCTGTTATCTTGTCTACCTGCTGATTTCCTCACACTCTGTGCTATCTGATCTCAGCCCCGCTCCTTTAGGCTAACACATTTTCTGTGTTACCTCTTCCTTTCTCTTCCTACTTCCTTGTTTCAAATCATCCATCACACACCATCCCAAGGTGATTCATAGCTATGCTGTACATCATGGGTCCTCAAACTATGCCCCGTGGGCCAGATCCGGCCCACCACAGAGGTTTTGGACTCGCTGTGAGCGCGCGTGTGGCAAGGTACCAGCTTGCTCACAAGATCGTTTTGGACTCACTTGGAGAAACTGATCTCTGCCCACATGCATGCATGCACCCCCCACCCGCCCCATCCCTTGCCCCCCACCCACACCGCCTTGATGGCCCGCGCCCATCACCAGCACCTTTCAACTGGCCCCCTGTTCAAAAGTTTGAGGACCCCTGCTCTACATGCTGCAGACTAAAATTTGAGGTATGGAAGGGGTGTAGGTTACACAACAAAAACAAGATAAACATATTTCCCATTTGTCATAGAACAATGCAGAGATGAGATCTTTCCTTCTCAGCACATTTGCTACCCAAAGAGATGCAGATTTAAAGAAAACCCACACAAACAAAACTTCGGGTACAATCCAAGCAAGCATTGGCTTGCTGCTTAAGAGGGTAAGGATAGCTTACCGAAAGTGCAGTGCATTATATGTGATGTAATTCGGTACACACATACCTGAATGTAAGATCTGCTGCAAGTAGGAGAGTTGTTTTTGACTAAGTATCCTTTATATTCATTGGCTGTAAATCATTGTGATCTGACCAACATGAGCACAATTTCCTTCCATATATGAAGGTTTATAATGGCATGCATACATGTTACTTGAGTCTATTAGTACTCATATTGGTTGCTATGGTAGATCTCTCTGAGAGTGAGTTCACTTCCACTGAAAACAGGAGTGTTCTCTAAATTGCTCAGTGTACACAGGCAGACATCTGTCTTTCTGCTTCAAGCAACATGGCAGAACACTAGCCCTGAGAGAATACAGAGAATCAGTTCCTTGTGGCTGACAAGGCACAGGAGAACAAGTGACACTGAACTTACATGGCTCCTCTGGATCTGAATAAATTGTCTCAGATTGTCCAATAGGGAGGAATAAAAGTAGAGGAGGACTTTATGGTAATAGGATCTAATGCACCAGGATGCTAACTGGTCCTCTTTATCACAAACATTTATAAGACTGCACCAGGTAAATTCAGGCTCTTTCTCTGAGAAAACCATTAATGCTCAATTTTGGTGCCACAAAATGTGAATTTAACTTACTCTCTTGACTCTCTGCATCTGGAAATTTTTGTTCATGTTAATAATCTCAGAAAAATGGGGAATGATTATTTATTTGAACTATGAATAATAAGCTGACTTTAGAATAAACTCACTGAAGGCAGCATCCAAAAACAAACATGAAATAAAATAAGGAGATCAAAATCAATAGCTAAAATCAGATAGAACCATATCTGGAGCAGCCAGAGCAAAATCCTAACCATGCAGTAAGCCATCCTGAGATGTTCTGTAGGGCACAGGATAGAAAAGCTATGAATGAATGAATGAATGAATGAATGAATGAATGAATGTTGTACTGGTCAAAGGAAATAGGTCCTATGGGGCCCACTTTAAGGCCCGAAATGATAGGCCCCTGTGGACATCAGGAGTGGGGGGGGGGCAGTATAGATTATGACACACGCATACACCATCTCAAGACTCCCTCTGAACCTGCTAAATAAGCAGAAGCATTAAGCCTTCTGTTTTGTTTTCTGTATGGTCGTAGACAGGTAAGACCAACCATGTCTGCAGACTCACATTTTGTGTTTCCCAATCTCTGTAAATTCAGAAGGATTCTCATACAAAACGAAACACACCTCAAAATTTAGGATAGCACTGAAGGAAATATCTTATATTTAACTTTACAACCCCTGACCAGTTTGTTGAAATTATATCTTTTCAGGGTCAACCTAGATGCAATAGGGGCAGACATGTGTCCTATACACATATAAAGGACAGGTGTAAGTATTTAATTTTTATACCAAACAGAGCCACAGGAAGCAGAAGTGAACGTTTCCACCAATACCATCCCAGCCACGCTCCATCACTCCATTTTTCTCCTAGCTTAACATAGATATAAGAAGCTGGAGTAGGAAAGGAAAATGCCTAAGGAAGGAGGTAAGGTAGGGGAGGGTTCAAGGTTCCATTTCCTCCTCATGCAAAGGAGCCCCCCCACACACACACATACACCTGAATGGGGATAATAAAAAATATGGCTACTTCTACCTTTGCTAAATTAGATTCTTTCACCAGTATTTTACTCTACATTTTCTAAGAAGCTTTAATAAAAGCAAATTTCACTATTGTAACATATGGGAAAGATTTTTTTACATCTGGATGAAAAAGCCTGATATGTTAATTAATCTCAGCTTGGGGAATTACATAATGGCTTCATGCCCATTTCCCTGGGGTAGTGGGTTACTAATGTCAGTCAAGAGAAGGGAATATAATTTTAATTTCAACTCAGGAATGTCAAACCAGAAATTTAAATACCAATCATTCTTACATGAAATAGTGAACAACCACTTCAGCTGAACCTGCTCAAGTATCCCTCTCTCCACTTTAAACTACTGAGCAATATAATTGCATCTTCTTTCTTCTCTTGCAGGCATTAATATTTTATTTATTTATTAGAATATTTATATGCTGTCCTGTCACGAAGGCCTCAGGACGGCTTACATACATAAAATAATATAAAACATAACACAAATGAATTACAGATCCACACTGGCTGCAGTTAAAAACATATAAAGCAATATTAAAACTTATTAAAATATTGTTGGAATAAAAAGGTCTTAACCTGATGCCAAAAAACAAATAACAATGGCGCCAGGTGGACCTCTCTGGGGAGTGCATTCCATAGGCGGGGCGTCACCGCAGAGAAAGCCCTCCTCTGGGTACTTCGCCTCCTAAAGTCTTTCACGGAGGGTTCCTGGAGGAGGGTTTCTGCTGCCGATCTCAGGGGGCGGGAAGGGAAATATGGAAGAAGGCGTTCCTTCAGGTATCCAGGTCCCAAGCCGTTAAGGGCTTTATAGGTAATAACCAGCACCTTGAATTGAGCCCGGACTTCGATGGGAAGCCAGTGAAGCTGATAGAGGACTGGGTTATATGAGAATAACGCCCAGTCCCCATCAGCAACCTGGCTGCTCTATTTTGCACCATCTGAAGTATCTGGACTGTCTTCAAGGGCAGCCCCATGTAGAGCATGTTGCAGAAATCCAACCGGGAAGTAACCAATGCATGTGTCACTGCCGCTAGGCAGTCTTCATCCAGGTAGGACGCAGCTGATGGATTAGCTGAAGAAAAGCGCTCCTCGCCAAATATATTCCATAATATTTGTCTGTTCAAAGACTATAACTCCACTCCCAGCAGTTTTCAGTATCATATTTTACCACCTCGGTCCACATTTTCCAACAGGACTTCTCTCCTGGGCAAACCGTATGAGAATTAGGGCACATTCCTATGCACATTTGGACAGGATAGAAAGTCTTACAACTCCCAGTATTCTTAGCTAGCCAAACTGCCACACACAGGAAAAAGAACCAGAGACTGAGCCAAGGAAAGTCCACCAGTTGGGGTTTCCACAATTCACCAAAATGAAGCCAGCTGTGCCTCTTACAGCGGCTGGATGTTTAGCAGGAGAGAGAGCTGGTTTTCTGTTGTGCAGAACATTCCCTCAGGGGAAATCTGGGCCACCTGCTTGCGATAATAGGTAAGGCAGGGCAGGGCCACCCTTTTCTTTCTGATACAAACCTTCACACATTTGCACTCCTGCTCTTCCTGCCCACTCAGTGGAGATAACAGACCATTCTTACCATAATGTCCTTACACAAATCTATGGAAGAACCATAGATTTGGAAAATTGTGTCAAGTTTATCGCTTCTGGACAATCTCAAAAAGGATTTTGTAGAGTTGGTAAAAGTGCAGGAAAGCGCAACTCAAGGGACTTTAGGGAAAATGTTCCCTCAAGTATCTCAGCCTTTGCTTGCGATCAGATTGGGAACAAAGCAAAGCTCAGTCTTTATAGCTGGATTTCACCATCCCAAACTATGTGAATGCCTACCTCCATACACAGAACCCTTCCATGCAGGAAAAAGATGCATCTCTCTGTGACCTATCTGAGAGGTTCAAAAAAACATAGTCCACTTAGCTCAATCACTGGGCTAGCAAAAACAAGCTAAAAAGCAATTACATTGCAGCTAACTAGGGACTTCCCTCGGTCTTATGAAATAGACCAGTTTGTAGGGAGGGTGCCCCCACCTCTTCGTTCCTCCTTTCTCTCCCTCCTTTTCCCTCCCAAAGAGAACCCATCGTGTCGCAGCGAACAAATCTCCACCAGGGGTCAGAAGATCCCCTGTACCATTGATAACTCCAATCCCTGCTTTTAAAAGCACACTTAAATGGGCCATACTATGATAGGCGCCACGTGATGGCGGGAGTGAGCCACTAGCGCTCGAAGAGCACCCTTTAACAAGGCAAGAGCGTAGCAACGCGCTCGGAACTTTCTTGGCCTCCACGACTTGCCGTAGCCGGGCTTTAGCCCGCTGCCTCTTGGACCGTCTGCCCCATTCGTGCGGATTGAGCGATTTTCTAGGATCATGGCGGATGCTGCTTACATCCACCTCGGCGCAGACAGGAGGCGCCACCGACGCGGAGGCGGCGGAGGTAGCAGCAGCATGGAACCGGGGCGGGAGAGGCTGGAGGATGACGGAGTTCGGACTCTCACTTCGGCTGAGCAGGTGGGAGTGGGAGCCGCCCCTGCATCTCTCGCAGTGGGACTACAACTCCCAGTGTGCACTGCGCGCGCGGGGCTTGAGGAGGTTCGGACGATTTCTGTGAACGGGCTAGGAGAGTTTCCACAGTGTAAATTCTTTGGCCATATATTACCGTAAGAGCCTCGTCGAGTGGAAATTTGTTCTCTTTAAATGTATCTTATCTTCCAGTATCGTGTAGTAGTCCATGTGTGCCAAATTAATCCACTCCCACTAGCTCAGCCTTCCCTAACTTGCTGCTCTGCAGGTGTGTGAGATTACAACTCCCATCACCCCCACTAGCTTGGCCATTGGCCATGGTGGCTGAGCACGATGGAAACTGTTATCCAACATATCAGGAGGGCACCACATTGGGGAAGGCTGGGCTAGCCAAGCACCTGTGGAAATTAATGTCATCAAATTGTGGCATAGAGAAGACTAGTGATCAGTCTAAATTGTGGGGTGAAGGGCAGGGATCTCAAGAGGTGGAGCAGTCTTTGAATCCCCGACAGTCAGAACACATACCACAGAATGAGAACAGGGAGACACAGAGTGTGCAAAGTGTGTGTGCACGCATGGAGAGAATCATACAGATACGACCTTGAAAGTCCTTTAAAGATGAACTAAAAACACACTCGTAATGAAGCTGTTGCTGGAGCTGCTCTGACCAGTTCTTTCAGGAAAGGCAGTATATGCCTGCACTGGCTGCTGGGCTCCTGGATCCTGCCCAGAAGTTCTCCCTCCTTTGTAGAAGGAAGGAGTTGTCTCTGGCCAAAACCTGAACCAGTTTTTTTGTACCACTTTCTGTCTGGTGAGAGGTGTAAGCACTACCTAGAGCTGAGTGCCACAGAGACATCAATTTTTTTCTTCAGGGAAAGGTCTTAGGGCAACAATGTTCTGACCATGTGCTGCAGTTTGCACATACTCCATTGCATAAGTAAAGCTGCTGAACTGCCAGGAACTCTTGTGGAGAAACTGCTGGTAGTTTCTTGTTTTTTTTTTTTAATTTAAAGTTATGGAGCAGGGGACAGGGAACACAATAGTGGGTCAGAGCCCAGGGTGGCCTCTGTTTAAAGTCAGTGTCAGCACCTTCTTTTTCACCTTAAGTATTTTCTAGCAGTTCTGTATCCTCTAGTTTTATGTGTTTTGCATCCCCTATGTTGGAGTTAATTTTCTGCTCACCTTGGAGAGTAATTTTGCTCCTTCACTTAGAAATACCTGCTCTAGAAAACCTGTTGGAAAGTAAGTGCTTTGTGAAAAAATTAAAGAAAAATGAGTTTATGTTGGTGTCCCCCATATTTTATGAGTTCAGACCCTATATCAAAACGCATCATACTGTTTCCTTACCCCCATCCCAAATCAACTCTCTGGTGGAAGAACATCTAAAAGTTCTTATATTCAGTTGGATGCATCCAGTGCAGGTGATTTGAGGAAATGGAGGTTCAAGAGACTTTTAGCAGGAATGTTCTCCCAAGCCCAATGATCACCTTTGCCCTCAGTTCCAATTCATTCACAGTTGCACCATAACTTTGCTTTCCCAAACTACTCTCACACTGTAACTTGAAAGTTTGCCTCCTCTTACACTAACATAAGCTTGACTATATCTTTTGTTGTTTTGTATGTTTTTTATATTCTTTTACCAGCAAAATGCTATCAGTCATCTATAGTGAAGCACAAATTGATGGTGATTGCTTGGGATTGTGCACCTAACAGGAGCTCCTCTTCAAGTAGGACTGGAGAACTTTAGGCCCAGGGGCTGAATCCAGCCCTCCTGAGGTTCGCCAAAAGTCCATGCTCCTTTTATTTTTAGTCCTATTGAATGTGTTCCCCAAATGCTGCTTCAAAAGGCAATTCAGCGTGCTGGCTTAAAGAGGTTCTACACACCTGTGCTACCATATTTACCTCCACTTGCTTCATCCTTCCTTCAACCTGTTGTACTGAAAAAGCTGTTCAAAACCAGTTAATTCTCTAAAGAGGGAAAGCCAATTTTTGTATTCTCAGGGAGCACTCTATTCTTGATAGAGTGATCTGGGGAAGTAGTGTATTTTAGTGCACAGACACCCACTTCAGTAAGTGGCTACTGAAGTGCCATCAAAATGGATAATGTGTACATAATAATATTGAAAATACTGCTCCAGGTCCATCACATAAGCATACTGGGAAGTTACATCACGTAACCATACAGGGAAGGTACATCACATATGCATACTGGAGCTTTTATGCTGATTATAAAATAGCATTTTTTCTGTAAGTTCAATCAATTCCATTTTTTTATATATCATCCATAGAAAGAACTTACTAGCTTCAGGAGAAAGACATCTGGATGGGACTATTCCTATGATTTAATTTAGAAAGATGTATGTCAAAAGCATGAATAACATCCGTGACTAAAGCTTCAATATGTGAAGTACATGCATTTTATTGTATATGAAGATATAGGATTATATCCAATGTTAATCTAATTTGGGTCCCACCCATTTCAGTGGGTCTACTTTAGGAATAATCCATAGATTTGCATATTACATCCTGTAGCTTTGTCAATAAGCTCACAAAGGTACTAGCTTGCAAAAAAATTGCTAGCTTACTGAGGGCTTACAGAGGTGAGATGCAGAATTCTGTCCCTTGATCTCTGTGCTGGGCCCATAGAAAGGCCATTCCCTTGTGGCAGCCAATTTGATTTCTGTGCTGAGTGCAGGGTGGTGGTGGTGGTGGTGGTGGTGGTGGTAATGGTAATGCAGTTTGTTCTTCCCCTGCCAGGCTGTCCGCGTGTCTGCATGACATTCTTTGCATTTGCCTGCATTTGAATTATTTGTCAACTAGGACTTCCACACTATTGCTTAAATACAAGGCTGTCATTCTGTCTTGCTGCTTGAAATTGTTTCCCTTTACCTTACCAAATGAAAGTGGGGAAATCTTTTCCTGTCCTATGATTAAAAAATATTGGCATCAGCACAGGGTCAGATAAAATTGCTGTGGAGATGTCTAGGCTGCTCACTGGCCTTCTCTGACCTAAAGAATCAACTGACTTGTGACTAATAATATCCAGAAGGATGCAGACAGAAATAATTCTGTTTTTATTCTTGAGGCTTTCCTGGCCTCTTCACTGAATAAATGAGCAACATTATTTCAATACTGGCAAGAACCTTTAATTCAATAATGTAGCTCAGCCAGTGGAGTATTTCAGATAATGGCATCTTTCTAGGATAACCACCCCAGACCTAGAGCCCTCTAGATATGTTAGACTACAACCCCCACCATCCCCAGCCAACATCATGAATGTCCGTGCCAACTGGGGATGATGAGGGTTGCCCAACCTGGAAGGAGAGCATCATTCTCAGGGAGGCCTGAGCACTAAGGACTGTCATGCATTTAATACATGCCCTGTGCCCAGCTTGCAATATAATCCTCTTCATGCTTACTCAGAAGGAAGTTGCATATTTCTTTGGGATTTGCTGCTTAGAAAGTAGAAATTACAGTGCAGTCCTGTGAACGCCTACTTAGAAATGAGAGTTCAACATGGTTTACTCCCTGTCAGGTATATTTGATTTCAGCCTTACTGGATCTGAGCCAGGGTGGACCCCTAAACTGTTTCACAAGGAAGGCTGAAGCTCCTAGAGAGGAGTATTGTAGGGCTGCTGTGGGCTGCTACAATTATTGTGAAACATAGCTGGTGTATGTGGACCTCATCTGGTGCTGCCCGCTGAATCTTTGCAAAAGAGCTTCATAATAGTTTAGTCAACAAAAAGGATATATTCAGTTACATTCCCTCCTGCCCCTAATATTTTAAATTAGTATTTAAATGATAGTGCAGACATTTAATTATTTTCTTTTTCAAGTTGTGGGAAATGGCACACCAACTGAACTATTTTCTATACTAGACAAAGCTTAAAAAATCTCTGGATATGAAGGGCTAGACTTCTCACTATTTCTTTTCAAGCATGAAAAGTATTTTGTAAAAGAGAAAGGGGCCATTTTATACTACCTGGATGTGATGAACCATAATGGCTAAGTGTTTATTTTTGCCTCTATCTAATTACTGTTCCTTAATAATGCTCTGCCTTGATGAAACCTGTCGATATCCGCACTGCAATCAATTGCTACTGGCCTTCCTGGTTCCCAGCATCTACATTGTTTAACATGTTTACTGGGGGCTGAAAAATACTTCACTGGATTGGCTCAGTATTCCCATGTGAGGAGCATTCCTTGCTGTATTCAAAGCAAACATAGCTTTGTAATAATGTGGCCTTAAACTGTTGCTTAAGTTTGCATTCTGCAGGGGATGCCACTTCTTAAGTTGCTGCTGATGGGAAGGCACATCTGTTTCTTGGTGTGCATGCTTCAGTTGCTCATGAGTAGCCAGAAGCAAAGAAATAAAAGTGCAGAAGCTATGGAGAAGTGAGGCAACAGGCCATGGGTAGCCCCATGGCTTGGCTTGGAGTTGTGGGTGGGAGAGTGATCAAGAGGACCCTACAGCAGGTTTTCAACCTGTCCACAGATGAGGACCAGTGAAAACAGGAAAACCACCTCGGGGACCACTAAGGCAGAAATAAAAAGCACCATACACATAATATAGTATTCTGTGTATTAGTTTCCAAACACAATACCAAAAAAAAGAAAATTCTTCAAAACAATCAGAAACCGAGCAACAAAAAAACAAAATACCAAAATCGGTACAGCATGGCTCCCAACTGGCTCCCATTGACCCATTTCTTCCTTCTCTGCCCCCCCCCCCCCAGTGCACCCTCCGTGAATGCAATGGCAACCAAGGTAGAGGTGGTGGAGCACAGCCAGCCCCCATGCTGGTTCATGGTGAGCAGAATGTGGCCTCCATGGACTGGCAGGAAACCTCCCATGGACCAGCACCAGTCCCCAGATCAGTGCCTGAAAACCACTGCTGTACATGAATAATTATCCAGTGCTTGCTAGCCTGAGGAGCTCAGCATACGGTGCATTTGTATAAAGCTCTAGGTCAGATTTGAAGTCAGCATCTATGCTTTCTTTGCCTTTCCAGTAGATAATAAAACTCTCAGCAATTCCATCCTGTACACATTGCTTCCAGGTTACTGTGTTGGCAATATTGGTTGCTAGCCTCTTCATAAACACAGACATAACCAACTTACAGACTTCTGGGTTGCATTAAGAAATAAACACAAAAAAAGGAGTCTTGTGGCACCTTTCATTTTTATTGTGGTGTTTGTTTGCATGGGCTAGGATATATTATTCCAGTAAGCAAACTCTTTTTTGCCACAAAGAAGCTGTGGTTATTTTTCAATTAGCTTGTTGCATCTGCTTTGTGACGTTAGTTGTTCCACAGTGTTTTAGTAATGCTTTGTACACATACAGAGCACATATTGAAAAGTATCTCCAAGGGTGATGTGATATTAATTTGTTCTCTGTGGAAGACATTTTAATTCCAGTCTTGGAAAGAAAGCGGGGTGTCTTATTAGTGTAGCACACATGTATGGCACAAACAAAAATCTCCCCAGTTCCTAGAATTAAGCAGGGTCAGGAAAGACCTCTGACACCTGGGCTTTACTGTTCTTTGTTGCACCAGGACAGTCAATCTGACTGGATATAAGGTGAATTGTGTTTTTAAGTAGAAAATGTCAATCTGTCTTAGTGAACTTGCTTGCCTCTGGTAACTGTGGCAAAACAGCAGATACTTTCCACAAGAAACGCAGATGGCAGGAAAATGGTTATCCTGAAAATGTTTTCAGCTCATGATGCTCACACAGTCAACATGATACCTTTAAGTACTGCAGAGGTGGTATGTCTTAGCCATTAATGTTGTACTCCTAGTTCTGGGTTGACTTTCTTGATGTCCACTAAAGTGCCCAGCCCTTCCCACTTTTTTATTATTAACAAATAGGTTTCTGCTGGTGATGAAAAGTGTAGGTTAGATAAGCTGTGGACTGTGTTGGGGTTCTTTGCCTTTTACTTAACTTTTTTTGGAAGGGACTTTGGGAATAGTCATGCCTTCTATAACAGCCATTTTGTGGTAGTTTTGTAGTAGCGCCCACAATACTTCATCAAATTGCCAGAATATCCAGGGGCCCAAAAAGGTTGCCAACCCCCCTTTGAGGCTAAATCCTATCTCTTCTTCAGTAATCCACAGTTTATACTCATATTTCTGCTTGGGTATCATGTATTTTGTAATGTTGCAAAACTTGTTCAGGTGTGGCCAATGATTCCCCTTCCTAAGCTTTTAGCCTTAAGCTTTTTGGCCTAGGAAGTCTGATAGTCAGGCTGCTACAGTATTCTCAGAATATTTTTCTGGCATGTCATGGCACAGAACTTGTGAACATTTGGTGCTTACTTTTGAATCAAGACAACCCATTTACTGAATGTATTCGGGTGCAGTCATAGACATGCTAAGACAGAAAAGAGGCCTACAACTCTTACTGGCTGGGGGATCCTGGGAGTTGCAGGGCTTTTTTCTGTCTACATGTGCACTGGATTACCCCTTTAACCACTCTGGCATGTTAGGTACATGTATGCTGGCATTACAGCCCAACTGCTTGAGATTTGGTTTATGAATTTCAGGGCTACAACCCCACTGTGCCTGAGAAATAACCCCATGCATTGAGAATTACAATGAATCATTATGGTCTCTCTAAAATCTTGCTTCCTACCACTTCCTCCTCACTTGCACTTACAAGTCTGCCTGACAGGTTCCTTCAAACACCCCAACTGTGTAAACAGTTTGCCTATAGCGGTGGGGTCCTCTAAATGTTGTTGGACTCCCAAATATCATCAGCCCCAACCATCGTGGCAATGACCAGGGATGATGATGGTTTCTCTTCAGTTCGAGAAATGAAGTTCAACAACACTAGGGGAGGTATACATTTCCCAGCACAACATTACTAGCATTGCTTATTTGGCATTGGAGGAAGAATTGATTACTGGTATTGGATAAACATAACTAAGGGCACAGTGCTGTGCAAGCTAGACAAAATAGAGCCCTGTGTGGACTGGGGCACGCTGGGAGTTGTAGGATTTTTTTCTATCTGAACATGCATAGAATTGTGCCCTAAGTGTATACCTTACCTTGGCTCACGAACTTAATCCATTCCAGGACTCTGGTCGTGACCCAAATTGGTCATGAGCCAACTCAAATTTCCCCATAAAGATCAGTGTAAATAAGGTTAATCCGTTCTGTAACTATTTTTTTTTTACTCACAAAAATGTGAAGCAAAGTGATAAAGAACAATAAAGATCACGGCCATCTCCCCCTCTCCCCCCAGCATGACCACAATCGCGCTGTGCAGGGAAGGCAGGCATGCTTGCGATCATCACCCGATGTGGAGTTTGCAACTTGTGGAAAAATTTTTATGAAATTTCTGTTTGTGACCCGATTTGGTCGTGAACTGAGGTGTTCGTGAGCAGAGGTACCACTGTGCTAGGTTCCATTGCATTTTCAGTGAATAAATGGTAATAATAACTGTGATAGGAAATTATATTAGTGGCATACTTTTTCATTGTTCATTGTGTAAAACTTTACAACCTAAATATTTTCAGTTTCGTTCATGGAAATAACTATGCTACTGTTATAAGTCTTAAGGACAACAGGCAGAAAGGTAATACCAGTCTTGTGTATCATGGAAGCATGTCATTCTTTAAAAGCTCAGTTGTTGGGACAATTTAAATAAATCATTTAATGACTAGTCTTTGACAATGTTTGTGCCCATGGCCCCATTTTCTACACAATGCACTTGCAACTAAGAGAGCAGGACTTGTTCAAAAGCTACTCCATGGCAGAGTTTTTCAGCCCTTCCCTGAATCTAGCGTGTAACACTTAAACCTACAATTATGAAGAAAAACTTGGGAACTGGGAGAAAGCCAAGTTCTTTTCTTTCCCTTAGGGAAAAGTTTTGCTAAAGTCAAACACACATGGCTGGCAAAATAGTTATTTGAATTGGAAATGCGGTGAATTTCAGAAAAGCCATGGATTCCATGGCCTACTGCTGACTTGTATCTGCCACACTTCATTGTTAAGGCCAAAGTGGCTGAAATTACAGTTGTCATCCAGTTGTCATGATTACCGGTTGCACTTGAGCTTCATTGCTGGAAACCTGAGACATCTCTGAGGGAGAATCGCTGCTCATTAACTCTCTCCAGCATCTGACCTTTAATGGAGAAGAGAGCACTTTTCAAATCTGTGATGATGAGAAAATGTTAGAGAGGAGAGCAGACTAGTGGGAAACTGTCAGCTGAGACTGTTTCCTCAATTAAGGTAAGCTGTCTTCCTTCTTGCAGCCCCCAAGCATAAGTGTTTCTTGCTTGGGTCAGAGGCCTTTACAAATTTCTCTGGGCATTTAGTGCTGGCTTCTCCTTAAGCTATGCTAGGGAAAGTAAGGCTGGATGTTTTAGTGTTTTAGGTAGGGTTAAGAATTGAGACTAGGGTGTACACATTCTGCACTGGATCCTGCACCTCCTAGCTGTTAGGGGTCTTTTCTCACCCATCCCATCCATTTGGAGGAGATTTGCTGAGCATCTTCTCCTCCATCTCTTGCAGCATTCCTATGGCTACCTGCATGGATGCCCTGCTGTAATTCTGTGGCTTGCCCTCCCTTGTCCATCTCAGTGCATCTGGCCCTGCATCGTACTGACCTCCTCTCTCTCTCATATGTGTTTTAAAGCTGTTCACCCTCTACTCTTGTCAGGAGCTGGGATTGCAGTCTCTCTTACAAGATAGATGCTGTACTGTTGTGATTGAATAAAAATGCCCTTTTGCCATAGTTTGCCTATCCTTTACCTCTCCGTACTTATTTTATCTGCTGGCATCTAGACTGGGGTGGGCCGGGGGTAGATCCTCAGATATGTTGGACTTCACCTTCCATCATTGTTAACCATTGGCTATGCTGACAGCATCGAGCTTTTGGAAGTCCCAACTGTTGTCAACCCAGCCTTCTGCTGCTCTGACTGTGGCATGACTGGTCATCCCCGAAGCCAGCAATTCCCAACCCAGTACCCTCCAGGTACGTTGGACCACAGCTCCCATTGCCACTGGCTATGGCTGCTGTGTGTCATGGTCCAGCTTGTGTGAAGAGCACCAAGTTAGGGAAAGATGGTCGAGTTTGATATCTCCTGACAACTTCTGATTTTTGCTTCCTTTCCTTTTTGCTGATGATATGTCATGGGAATTGGTTGGAGTAGGACTTGCTGTCTTGATCCCAGCATCACGAGCTCAAAGATGTTGAAGGTTGTCAAGAACTGTCGCAAGATCAGCATGGCAGTCCGTGCTGCATTAGTAGGAGTGTCCTGGGGGTAGGAGAGAGACTTTCAGTGTTCATGAGTGTGTGCTGCAGCTCTTTCGGCACATGGGAATCTGCCTTTTGCCATGGTCCATCTAGGTCGGTTTTGTTTATGCTGCCAGTGCTTTCATTGCAGGGCTGTTTCCCATCTCTTCCTAGAGATGTCAGAGTATGACTCTTGCATCTTTTAAATGCAAAGCCATGTCCTCTTACCACTGACGCTCTTTCCCATGGAAAGCCACTGTGCAGATGCAACGTACTAAAGCAGCGGTGGTATGTTCCTGATTGTGACCCATTGCTCTGTGCTGGTTTTTTGGGAAACTGGTAACAGGAGCCCTGGTGCACTCTGATATCTTTTTTAGTAATTGCCATTTTTCTCTGCACTTTCATTCTTGGCATACCATGCCATATTGCTTCACTGTACTTCATTGCACAGTGCAGCACTGGAGCAAAGATTGGTAATGGAATGTCATCCAGATGTGTCAGATTTCAACTCCCATCAGCTCCAGACAGCATGGCCAATGGAAAGAGATTGTAGGAGCTGTGATTCAGAAACTTCCGGAAGGCCCCGGTTTGTCCATCCCTGCAGTATAGATTTGTATAGCCCATACTAATACACTTTTTCCTCTTTTCTCATTCCCACCTCATTTTCTGTATCTTTTTTGTCCCTTTAACATTCTTCAGACAAAAGTAGAAGATATTGTGCAAGAAGTCTTTGATGTTTACAAGACAAATCATCACGACTCACAGTAAGTTACTGTACCCATGCCACATTTCCTCTACACAGTGGTATAAAAAGAACAAGCTTTTAAGAGCTTTGGATCTTCCCATCAGCACTGGTTGCTTGCTGGGTTTGGGGGGATTGCAACCCCCCCACACACTTTTGATGCAGCCTCTTTCATTCCAGACGGCTTCCCTGAGATTCAGAAAGGCTTTGTGTATGCAGAGGGGTGGAATGGGGCAGGCTGTTGAAGTGGGAGGGAGTGGAGGAGAAACTTTCCTGCTGTGAACGTCGTTTTGCTCCCTGCAGATGCAAGCCAGTGTCATTCCACACCACTGTGTCGCGACCACATTTGGACTTTTGTGTGCATTTCTGCTCTTCCTGTCTCATAACAGATACCCTCACACTGCCCCTTTATAGATGAGAAAAGGAGCTTCTATTAGTGTAGATGGGAGTTTGGGAGTCAGGTTCCCAACCCTCCGGAACAGCTTGTCTAGGACCAGGTAGGCGGCAGGGCAGGGGAAAGCTGTTGTGCCCAGTGGTTTCCATTCTGCTGGTAGATGGCTATGATTAGATGCAATGCTGCGGTAACCAAGATTGGTTTCTGCTGTGCTCAGAGTCAGGAAACCTCTAGATTATCACATGGGAGCAGCTGGCTCCATTGCACCCTGCTTATCAGCTCCCCAGGGCATCTCAGGCTAGCTGCTGTGGAGTCCAGGATCTAAAAGAAGATGCTTTTCTGCAGCAGCAGCCCCTGTGCCACATGGCTATTTGAGGTGATTTCCAAAGCTGATGATGCTGTGGCACGGGGGTGGCGGGGGGGACTCATGCCAAAGAAAAACTGGAAAGCACACAATCCCTGGGGCTCGTGCAATGTCTAGGCATGAGCCAAAGCACTTCTTTGGCTGCTTGCCAGAGCAGTGGGTTAGGCAGACCTTTGCTCTGACCTAGAGCAGCAGTTCTTACGCAGAATTTGCCATCAGCAGTTAGGGCAGGTGCCTAAGGCAGATTGTAGATGTGACACAGGGCATTTTTTGTGTCCTTAATTAGTCATAATTAGTCAAATGGTAAACACGCCTCTACAGCACTGCATGATTTTATGAAGCTTTGCTGAATTGTATACATTTTGCTCTACCCTGCAGGTTTGTTTTGCAGCGGGAAAAGCACTTCCACTACTTGAAGAGAGGGCTGAGACAACTGACTGATGCCTATGAGGTAATTTCTGCAGGACGGAGGAATCTGAGCTGCTTTTTTCTTGGTTATTTCTGCCCTTGGCTTAGTGGTTTCTGACCAGAGCTTTGGCTGACACCAGTTCTTTCCTGCTGTGAATTCTTTACTTTTTCTCAGCAACCTGAAATATCAAGGAATTGGCATATGCTTTCCAGCCAAGGGATAATTTTTAGGCCATAGAAAAAGGGTTGTGTTTTGCAGACCTTATTGAATTCATTCTCCTGGGGCAGGGGAGCCCCTTTTGACCCTGAGGAGCTCATGCAACGTCAGTTGGTGAGTCAGGGCTGTGTGCAGACATGCCCCCACATATGTAGACAGAGGTAGGGTGGATGATTTAGCTTTCCTAGGCAATCCTAAGGTGGTGCTGAATTAGTAGTCCCTGTCAAGCTGGCTGTAGCTTTAGGCATACCAGCTGCTTCAGGGTGGCTGAGGAAGGAAGTGGCTGAGGGCTTCTCCCACCTCCACTGACCCCAAATAGTTGGAACTATTTCTTCAGTGTCACCCTGAGCTACACAGAGGTGGTGTCTGGTTGTTTTGGGAGTGCTGAAGGAGAAGAAAGACATTATGTTCCCAGTGGGGATCCCTTGGGGGCAGAGCAGCAGAAAAGTGAGCGGGGGCTCATAAGGCTCCTTGCAAGCCACAGGTGATCCACCCCATCCTGTAGCTTTTTCAGTTCTAGTTCAGCCCTGTATTTCAAAGCTCTGTCCTTTGCTTTGCTTTGTTTTGCTTTGCTTGTGCAGTGATAAATGAGAAAAGAGCATAGGGTTTTGCAAATAGTGAAGCTATTTTAAAAGCAGCTTGGAAATTCCCTTTGTGGATTGGTGCCCTTTGTCTTTTAGGCTTGCTTTTTACTTTCCAGTCATTCTGCTCTGATTAACCTCCATCATGTAGTCTTCTTGCAGCCGTACCAGCTGTGTCAGTCACAGATTTGAACAGCAGCTGTTTTCTTCCTTTGTAGTGTCTGGATGCCAGCCGCCCATGGCTCTGCTACTGGATCCTGCACAGTCTGGAACTGCTTGAGGAACCCATCCCAGAGTCTGTAGCTTCAGAGTAAGCTTTGTTTTTCACTCAGCCTCTGTTCTTGTTGGACACATAATGATTTATTTCAAGCACTGCAAAATTTGCAGTCTGAAATAAAATTGTGGGATGTGACTCCTGTGAGTCTTGCTTTCATGTTTTTTTTTAAACTTCCTTAGACCTTGTTGGGAGAAACTCCGAAATTATTCAGGCAGCCTCTGTGGAAGGCCCAGACCTTGGCAGGGCTTTGAATTCTTTGTCTTGACAGTTCTGTTTCAGAACTTAATTTGACAAAAATAAGTGCTAGGTGTAACTTGAAATCATTCATTGTTCTGCTTTCTGATATAGTATTACAGTAGAAATGGCCTCCCAGAATCTATGGCCTTCATTATCTATGCACAGTGTGTGCCTCTGCATTCACCTCCCAGTGTGCCAGCGTGATGCATTCAGATGCTTTTTTCTTGAAACACAACAGTGCATTGTCTTATTTGACTTGCTCCGACAATAACCTCTCAATAGTTTTGTCTTGGGTAGAAGCTTCTGGTGCATGTTGTGATCAGCATAGATGGTGGTGGGAAGAGCTCAGCTTCAGCCTCTAGGAAAAGAAACTAGTCCCTGTTATTGTTATTATGCATTCTATACCAATAGATTTTTAGGGCAATGTATAGCTGTGAAAACTGATTAACTGCCAAAAAACCTCTTGTTAAGAAGAAAAGTTTTGCCATCTGTAAGGAGAAATGGTGCAGGGGAGTGGACTAGGAACTGCCAGTTGTTTGGGGAACTGAGGAGAGGAGTTGTACATGGTGAACAGGAGACCAGAACTTCTGGATTTCAACAAAGCCAGAAGCTTCTGTCTAGGAAGTAACACAAAGAGAAGCATTAGATTATTTAGAAAAACTAGAATAAAAAACCCATTGCCTTGTTTCCTTTTTACCATATTTTCAAGAGGCATAAGAACTGCTGAAATTATAATTTTAGCCATTTTGTTGGCTTGCTTGGAACCTACCAGTTCTTTTTCCAATACTAGGTTGGGAAGCAAAAATAAAATGGACTGTAATACGTCCAAGCTGATGTTTCTCTGGGTGGATATCCTGTTTTAAGAATAAAAGCAAGGAAGGGAATATGTTTTTCTACACTGGACAAGTTTCTTTGTTAGTAACACTTGTGAGGCCCATTAGCGTGAATCATTGCTTAGCAGAATGGCAACACACCCCCAGCTCGTGAACTCCCTCTTCTTTCCTCCACTCACACAGCTTCAAGCAGGATTATGGAAGCTGCTGCTTCTCTTTTAGGTGGACCACAGTTTGCCATGTAGTCCAGACTCTGTGGTGTGGCAAATCTAAACCACGATTAGTTGAAACAAGGCCCGTTTCATTAGCTCTTTGTAGAAAACTCCCTTTCAGCAAACCATCGTTAGGATAAACCTCAGTTTGCACTGCTTCGGACAGCACAACAAAGCATGCATGATTCAAAATGGAAGCAAAAGCTTCAGTACTCCTTTCACCAGTATCATGCTATACCATGATGCCGAAAAAGCCAACATGTCATGATCACATGTGCACTGCTACATGTGTTCATGCCAAGAAGCTGCAGCTGTTACCTAGTATTATTGCCTAGTGGTTAAAAGTGTATAATTTTGAACCATATCTCTGTCGAGCAGGTCTTGCAACACTTGTGCTATTTCACTTGCTTTGTGGCTGCCTGAGTCTTGACCTGTTTAAAGGGATATTGCCAAATTAACAGCCTTCCGAATTCACTTGAGCTGTGCTGCTGTAACATGTAGCACATATAGAAAGCCGTAGGACTTTTTATCCCTCTCCAGCCTAAACAGTTTCCAGAGCATCTTACAGATCAGTAAAAGATAAGTCAGTCCCTTCCGTCTTGCTTACAATCTGAAAGGGACAATACAAAAGGGAAAAGGCATGGGGAGGAAGGAGAAATGCAAGCAAACTCAGATATCATTTCTTATTAAATCTGGGAAGCATTAAATCTGGGAAGCTACATATTGTTGATTTGCAAGACTGCCGCCATCTACAGCTTTTTGAGTAGATTTGCACTTTCTTTCACCCCCCCCCTGCCCCCCAAAGCTGGTGCAAGATTTGTATTTCAATTTGTGGTTGCAGGACTTGTGCTACGAAGATTTCTTTATGTTCATGTTTTAAACCTTGCTAATAAAAATAAAGGCCCATTTCTTTTCTTTTGGAATGTCATCACTGTTACTTATTTTGATAGTTGTAAAAAGTGGATTATAGTGGATCATTAAAATATATCCCAAATCACTATTTTAAATCTTGCAGGAGAAGCTTAATTTGGTAACAAAGAGATGCCATGCAGGCAGCTTCTAAAATGTCCCAAAATAGATCACTGAAGAGGGTGGATGTAGACGAGAATGCATAACACATTTTGCATATTTTCAGAGAACAAATTAGCAAATAGCATGGTTAAAAAAGAAAACAGTTGCAAATAATCTTATTTATAAAGCCTTCAGCTCCATCTCCATATTTGTCCGGGAAAGGCATTTTCAGTAAGGCCTCAGCTACATACAACTAAATACCGCCTTTGCTAATTTGCAGTGGACAGAGCCCAGAGAAACTCTTGTATGTCTGCAAACGCTTGTTTAAACCCTGCCCCTTGATTTCTGCCCTCTGACTGCAATTGCCTGTACCAGATCCCACATCTGACTCTCAGGAGTGGCTTCTTGAAGGGTATCCATGTATAAACAGGTGCAACAGGAAGAAGGAAGTAGGTTCCACTCATGCTTCTTTGGATCCATCCAAAGTCCTATAGAATACGAATTGTCTGCTCATTTCATGTTAGTTCTTCACCACGTGCTGGGTGGTAGTGGAATACAGCACCACTGACAAGGGGGCTCTTTATGCTAAGCGTCTACGGGTCAATTTCCCTGTGAAGCTTAATGGAGTGCACTAACATTCTGACCATGCAGGCAGTGACAGCATGGCCAGAGCTTGCCGTGAGTGTCATGGGAGCCTGGTGTCATGGGCTGTTGGAGAGGAATAGGCAATCTTCAGATAACCCCGAAACAAGGTGTGGGTTATTTGAGGGTTGTGGGCCTCCCAGGACAGCCCGCCCCATTGGATTTGCAGGACACAGCAAGCAGGGATGCCACACAGAAGGGCAGCCACAGGCACAACATGAGAGCTTCCACACCGCAGCTAAGCCATGTTGGGCTGTCATGCTGTGGAAACTGGGTCATGGAGCTAGCATTGGTGCTAGAATAAAAACTGGTTTCTGTCCCCCACCCCACACTTGGAGGAAGGACTGAAAGCCGTAACACCACCACAACCGCAAAGATGCAATATTTGCTACTTGTTGAACACTAACCTCTTTTTCTGTGCCCAGTGTGTGCCGTTTCCTGAGCCACTGTCAGAGCCCCAGCGGAGGCTTTGGAGGGGGGCCTGGCCAGCACCCCCATCTGGCCCCTACCTACGCTGCCGTCAACGCACTCTGCGTTATTGGCACGGAAGAGGCATACGGCGTTATCCACAGGTAAATCCATAGAGCAGGGCAAGGTCCAATGAAGCACTTAGGCCTGCTGTGAACCATGCTGCTGTGGCAGCATGTAGTCCTGCCCCTGCTCCTCTGCGACTTCTGTTCTGCCCGTGGGAGCCGGCCCTGGCACTCGTTTTCTAGCACTGCTTCAAACAAAGGAGAAATGCTTCTTTCCAGAAGGGGATGGGCCAGCACTGCTTCCTTCTGAACGTTTGGCTGGCCTGTCCCTTCCACATTGCAGACATTTCTGATTGCTTTGGAAAACATTAGCTTTCTCTTGTGCCAGAAGTGGGTCTCATTGATACAAGAACAATACAACCTCCCTGACACACATTTTTTTCTGGTAAACTGGCAGGAAGCACTTTTCTCTCATAACATTAGCAGTGTTGTGTTATTTGGTGACTGTGTGAGCATACGTGCACACACTTGTGCACAGACTTTGGTACAGTAACTCGCAGTTCCCTTTAACAATTCCGGCAGTGACCTGATTGAAAACCAGTTTGGATCCCAAACCTTGGATCCTTTGTGGGTCTCGGTGGAGACCTTTATGCAACCTTTTTCCTAGGAGAGAGATCGAGAGAGAGATCTTCACTAATGTTCTTGATCTTGGTTTTCAGAGAGAAGCTGCTGGAGTATTTGTATTCGCTAAAGCAGCCTGATGGCTCCTTCATCATGCACATAGGAGGAGAAGTGGATGTCAGGTATGTTCAGTAATTTCCCTCCTGAACACAAAACCAACAGTTCTGCAGCAGTGGCACTCATCCAGCATTACTGCTATGTGGTTTTGTGATTTGGTAGCAAGGCTTGAGGGGAGGGATAAGGTCCCCCTCTAATGCGAGAGAAGCATAATTTACTTCTTTTTTCCATAAGCAATGTCAAATATTCCTGGATTGCCTCTCTAGGGGGCAGAAGAAGCTGTCCTTGGTTGTAATCCAACAAAGTGATATCCTTGTGTGGGAAGAACAACATATATGGCCAGAATTTGTTTTGGAGCAACTGTTCCTAAAACCAAAGAGACAAGCCTCTTTTTTAAATTAACAGTGGCTTGTCATTTCCCCCTCTCCCCCCACAGATCCTGCTTAATCAGCAAAGATTTGGAAGACCATTTAGAACAGTGTGGGAAGTGGAGTAGGGAGATGTAGTAGGGAATGGAAAGCACCAAAGTTGTCCTGTTCCTTTCGTCGCAGTATCTATGATAACACACAAACTTCTGTCGGATGAAGGAAACCAACTGGATGCAACACAAGATTCCTCTGTCCTCTCTTTGACTGGGTCTTGGCTGGTTGAATTTTTTTTACAAATACTGTCAGGGAAAGAGGAAGTTGCTGTAACTTAAAACTGATTCCTGAACATACAAGAATTTAATTTCCAATATTAGCCTTTCTTAGAATAGATCCACTAAAATGGATGTGGCTTAAGTTGGACTCCCATTGGATGCCACCTCTAGCAGTACGTGCATCATTTATATGTAGCCACAACTGTGTTGATGATTTAATCCGATTTAGTCCTGTCCCAAAGAGCAGTCAATCAGTTTCAATAAGTCTTGTATTTAAATCCCAGGAGTGCCTATTGTGCTGCGTCAGTAGCTTCGCTTACCAACATTATTACACCAACTCTTTTTGAAAGGACAGCAGAGTGGATAGCAAGGTAAGGAAACTGCAGCTCTTACTTTGCCCTGGAAACCTGGTACTTCTGGTTTGGACAGCTTAGATCAACTATTTTCCAGACATGTTGGACTGCAACTCCCATATGCCCAACATATCTGGGGAGTGCAAGGTTTGGAAAGCCAGCAAAGACTCTGGTAATCTGCTAACAGGTGGAATAATAAATGTTCAAGGCCTTGGCTGCATTGCTCTTTGGGGACAAGAATATAAACCCTGTTTTTATGTTTTGATTTTTGAAATAGATGTCAGAACTGGGAGGGTGGGATTGGTGGTGTCCCTGGCATGGAGGCTCACGGAGGGTACACGTTCTGTGGACTGGCAGCTCTGGTCATCCTGAAGAAGGAACATGTCTTGAATCTCAAAAGTTTGTTGGTAAGTCATTGTTTCTTAGCCCTTGTTCGTTTTCTCTGTGTGCTTTTTCTTCTCTATTTCTGCTTTATAATTCTTGAGAGCCAGTGTGGTGTAGTGCTTAAGAGTGAGAGTCTGGGCCTCAGGTGATCTGGGTTCTAGTCCCCACTCAGCCATGGAGCCCACTGGGTGACTTAGGGTGAGTCACAGACTCTCAGCCCAGCCTACCTCACGGGGTTGCTGTTGTGGGGAGAAGTTTGAGAGCAGCAGGAGGAGAATGATGTAAGCCACTTTCGGTTCATTGGAAAAAAAAGAAAAAAGGTGGATAGAAATCTAATAAAAAAATAATATAAAGGACTGTGTGACCCTCATAATTCCAAAGCAATTTGTATCTGTGAATTCCTCTTAGGCAGGAATTTATCAAGAGGAAACTGATAAAAATGGTTCTTACTGTTACTTCATACAATCATGAAGCTCTCTAACCCATAATTGTGTAAGGTTATTCTACTGGATTAAAATCAACTTGAACGTCTAAGGATACTGGATGGTGAGAGAGATGAATGCATATATATATACATACTTTAAGAGAAAATGACTCCTCTTCTACTCAGCAGCATGTCCATCCCTCTTACTCTTAATTTTTAGACACAATTCTTAGTCTGTTCTCAGATTCAAATTTAATTCAGCCTAATCTTCCTACACTGGTGCTTTTGGCTGACTTGTCTCCTTTTAGTTGCATTATCAAGAACCCCTACATATTTTACATGGCAGCCTAGGTAGATTGTGTTGTGGCTCCACAAATACTCCAGGAGCTGCGTTTCTTTGCTGCTTCTGAAGTGTCCCCCTCCCCACCCCATGCCCAGCAGCTCCTGTGACTACACTGAGCAGTAACCGTGGTCGCTTTCTCTCCCTGCCAGCACTGGGTTACCGGCCGCCAGATGCGCTTTGAAGGAGGCTTTCAGGGTCGCTGCAACAAGCTGGTAGACGGCTGCTACTCCTTCTGGCAGGCCGGTTTGCTACCTCTTCTGCATCGAGCATTGCATGCCAAAGGTGAGTCTGTCCATTGCCCACTTACTCACATTCCCAGAGTGTGTCCTGTGCGTCTGTCTGCCTGCCCACTGCTTGTTTTCCCACTAGCCAGACAGGTGCATGCGGTAGCCCAGTAGGAACACAGAGCGCAGCAGCAGAGGATGAGTGTGTGAATTTCTGTCTTTGTGCAATCGAATGAATATCACTCTGTAAACATTATAATAAAAACCAGAAGACACCCACTGAAATATACTATGGGCTTTAGAATCAGGGAGCAGTTGGGGTTTGCAGGAGCAGAGTCAGTGTACTGGTGGGGAGCGCGTCTCTCTGCCTCAAGCCCACTGCCTCTTGTTTGCTGACTGCCTTTTTCCCCATCTCCCCCCTTCACCTCCTTCAGCTCCTTCCCATCTGGCTGCTGCCTTGCAGACACCAAGGAGCTGGTGAGCAGGAGGCCTGTGCAGCAGCTTCCCGCAGGAAGTCGGGGGGACACGAAGAGCAGTAACAGCACAAGAGTTTAGAATGTGACCCCAGCCTGGGAGAAGCTTCTTTTGCTCAGTGGATCCATGGGGCACATGGGGGGCAGGCTGGGGCAGAGCAGGGATGGCTGGTGGACCCAGGGGTACTGGGTTAAATGGGCCACGCTTGCACAGTTCTTCCAAGCCAAAGCCCGCGTGCTGCCTTCTGCTCTGAGATCATTGCTCAGAAGCACGAGGGATGCAAGCACTGCACGCCTCTTGCCCCAGGGGGTGATCTGGGGGCAAAGGGAGAGTGTGGGCGCTCACCTGTCTTTCCCAGTTCTCCACTTACGGGTGCAGAAGGCTACAAACCTGCAAAAGTTTAAAAATAAATTAATAAAAGTAACAAAAAGGCGTTGTTGCTGCATGGAACTCTAGTAACAGAAGTAGGAATATATAACTTAATTTGAAAAGGAATTCTCCTCTGTGAAAAATCTTATCGATATATAATTTTAACTGCCCATAATTTTGTTAATCACTGAGAGAGCCTTTTGTCTATTGGTCAGTATAGAAATTAGATAGATGGCTAATAGCTGCTAAGAAAGAGGAATAAGGCATTCTTATATAGAGAAATGTCTCTGGTGCTCCCCTCAGATATGGAATGTAGGACATGCTATTGGTACCTTGTGATGTTAACATCTCATGAAATCTCCAGGTCTGGCCAGCATCAGAGGACTAATCTGAAGAGCACTTCAGTGTGCCTTCTTTGAAATGGTGCTGAGTGGCACTTGGCAGGTGTTGCATTGCAATACGGGTGCTGGTGCCTGTGGGCACAGCATTGCCTGCCAGCGGAGGCAATAGCAAAACATCTCCACTGTGCTAATGGTGCCCATGCAGGAATTGGCAACACAGTTTAAAAGACACCGCTTGGGGCTGTTGCTCGCAGAGCAGAGCAGAGCGCACCCAGTAAACTTTTAAAATCGGACTTCAGAGTTGGAATGATAGACTGGATGAACTGTTTTGGAACATGAGAGACCCTCATCATGGGTATTCTGTTAAATCATATGGCACAGAAGCCTCCATCTATGAGTTGCAGTCAGTCAGTCAGCTCAGGTGAGCGTCACAGGCACCTGCAGGATCCTTCCTTCTGTTCCACCTTTCCTTACCCATCTCCTCCCCAAGCTGCCGTTTTCCCATTCGCTATCCACAGAACCAGCCTGTCTCTTCTCTGGTAGCAAACAAGGCAAGTCCTGCTGAGGAGTGAACAGGCAATGCTGGAGTGAGGATGGGGGCAGTGAGTGCAGAGCAGAGGAAGAACTGGGGGGAATGGAAGGAGACGCCCCATGAAGCTGGCCTGGGAATGTGGTCTCCTTGCCTTCAGTGTGTTCCCAGTGGCGTCCTGTGGTGGGACGGCTTGGTGGTTTCTCCCCTGGAATGGCCAGGCACTCACTGGGACTTTGTTCCTCCCAGGTGACCCCGCCCTCAGCATGACACACTGGATGTTTGACCAGCAAGCACTGCAAGAGTACATCCTGCTATGCTGCCAGTGCCCTGCAGGGGGCCTCTTGGACAAACCGGGCAAGTGAGTATCATGTAGGGCAGATGCTGCTGGGCTGGAAATCCATCTACCCCTCATCCCTGGCGATGCTCGCTTGGGCCAGTGAGAGTTGGAGTCCAGATGGGAGGCCACAGGTTCCCAAGCATGGTCTAGTGCTGGATGGTTTGGGGCAAGGGCCTGTATTCTTGCTGTTGGAAGGAGCAGTAAATCAGGAAGTGTCATCCGTTGGCTCAATGGATAGCCAACATAATTCTGCCACAGAATTATACCCCAGGCCTTTCTCAGGAGATACCCTATAAGCCAATTGACCGTCATGATGAAGCAGAAGGGGCATGTGCCACAGGGGGTTGTGGAGCTGGGGAACGGCTGCTAGAATCCAAACTTAGTGCTCGGTATAGTCTGCATTGGCGCAAACACATTTTGTGTTGAGAGAAGCTGAATTCTGCATCAGTGTATCAGTGTGTTTTACAGTATCTCATGGGCTAAGCAGCTCACCGATATTATCTGTGTTACCTCCTGAGTTCCAACAAGTGTTTTCTGAATGGTGGCTGTGAACATGGTAATTACCCCCTTCTGTACTTCCTGCGTTTCATTTCCTTCTGACCTCACTGTTTACAATTTGCCCCACCCTCCAGTACACACACACATATATGTATGTATGTTGAAGCATATTGCATACATTATGCATCTGATACAGTGGACTGTACTCCATGATACAGACAGACAGACAGAGAGAATGGTTTCTTATTTTTGCTGCAAGAGACTATGCTAATTCCAGAGGAATGTTAAACTATGCAGCTCTGACTTTGATTAATTGGCCACCATTCTCCTAGCAATGGAGAGGGAAAAGTTGCTGTCTAGAACATGGGACCCCATTCCAAACTGCTGCTAGCAACTCTGCTGACAAAGATCAACTTCTCTGCCTTGCATTCCCTCATGCAAGCAAGAGGGATATACATGTAGGAAGATAAACAAATGTAAATAATTGCTTTGGCAGCCATACACGTCGGGAATTTACTTTGTGAAAATGAAAGCTAAGATCCTCAGAATGCTGAACTTGTGTACTGGAATTGTTGGCTTTTCTAAACCTGTTCAAGATCAGGGATTTTCCACAACCTACTCAATAGCTTTTGGTAGCAAAAAAGCTCTGGTGAGCACATAAGTCCTCAAGACTGAAGAAGTGTAGCTAGATGCCTCTAGCTTCTTTTTAGCATATCCTGTCCATATTTTCAGAACAGTTTTTGCTGCAGAGAAGACTCCAAAAGTAAATACACACACGCCTTGATTCTGATTCCAGGCCTCCTGTCATTTTTTCCATGGTTTGTGCATAGGGTATGTCCGATAAAGCAAGACAGGTATGGTTTCGTGGCAGGCAAGTCAGTGGACAGTAGTTTAGTCAGAGTGGAAGAGTCAGGCTTCTGGCTTCCCCCAGTGATGTAGCTGCTTTTGCCTCCCAGATCTCGGGATTTTTACCACACCTGCTATTGCCTGAGTGGACTTTCGATAGCCCAGCATTTTGGCAGCGGAGACCTACTCCATGAAGTTGTGCTCGGAGTGCCAGAGAACCGCCTGGTAAGCTGGGCCTGGCTGAGATGACTCTTGTGTGTGCGGGACATGCTGTGTCTTAGCCTTCCAGCAGACTTCAACGTTCCTTACTCATCTTACTTTAAATTTCTGCCCACTCCCTGCTGCCACGGAAGTGGATTGTGGCCACACACACTGAATAGGTTAAAAAGTGAACCAGAGTTCCTGAAAGCATCATTTGAGCTGCACAGAAGTGCTGCCTCCAACATGCAGTCCTGGGGATCTGAATGAAACATATAGTTGTGGGAAGGGAACAGCTGGTCCTCTTCCTTCCCCACTCATAAAATGTTGATCTTGCATTTTGTTGTAACAGTGAACTGGCTTGCATATAACGAGTCCCACCATAGGGATTTTCCCTGCAGAACAGCTGCCATTTTGAATATTCAAGCTGCAAGTGCAGCACACCATAGCTTGTCGTTACATCTGAACCTGGCAAGTCCGGGTTGTTGAGGTGCTTGACCCAAAACTCATGGGCTGTTTTAAAGTTGCAGCTTGATTCCTTTGGCTTCTTTGCCACCTGCTTTCTCACAGATGGTGGCACCTGGTGCTGATGGTGTGCCTTTGTAGGAGGCAGTTTTTAGGCAGTTGTGCTGCTACTAAAGGGGAGGGAAATAAAGCCAGGAAATTCTCCTGCCTGAAGCCACTGAGAACTGCTGCTGCCAGTTCGTGTTGGCAGTAGTGGGCTAGATGGACCATCTGTGTAGAAGGCAGCTTCCCATGTTCCTAGTCGAGTCCTCACAAATAAGCTCAGCTTCTTCATTGTGCATTCCTTACTCCTTTCATGAAGCAGTGTTCCACTTGTGGGGGGTTATTTTAAGGAGACAGAAGCATCTTCAGTTAAAAAGGGTATTGTTGTTTTACATACCCATTTGTGGAGAGGTGTATGGACAAAAGGAGCACTTTGAGTGAATTAAAGTGAATAGCTTACTTTCCCCCCTGTGAAGCTCAGAGAGGCTTGTGCAAGGCCTCAGGGCCTTGGCAAGTTGCCCACAGTTTCCACACATGTATCATCTGGGGGGGAGGTCCCCCTCCCCTGTCTTGGCTCTGTCTGCGTACTTGGCCAGTGACCTTGTGGACAGGCGGGCAGGCAGTGGCGCAGAGAACCGACCTGTAGCACCGGTCTGAGTGAGAAGTGAGGTTTGCTGCTGCTTGCCACCTTTGATGCTCAATTGGGCCAGTGGGCAAGCAAGTGGCGAGGAGCCCAGGGCTGGCACTGGGGCCTTACCAGCTGGAAGCTATGTTGGGAATGTCTAGCCAACTCAGTGCTGGGAGGGCAACTGAGCAAGACTTTGTGATCAGGCATTGGGCTTTAGGCTTTTGTATAGCTCTGCATGCTCCCAATTTCTAGCCCAAACTACCTGCAAATTGATGGACTTGGTAACTCCGCTGTGCTGTTGGATTCACTGCTTTCTGCTGCAGAATTGAGGAGTGTCATGGCAGCTGCAGTGTTAATTCCTGTGTCATTTCCTTCTCTCCCAAGCAGCAGCCTACACATCCGGTGTACAACATCTCCCCTGACAAAGTGGTGCAAGCGGTGATGCACTTCCTGACAAAGCCCGTTCCTAGTGCCACGGAGGAGACTGCCACTGACTGAGATGGGCTTTGCCGCCCTCGGTGGGCGCTGCGCAGTGCCATCGTCCTGCCGTCCTGCAAACGGTGCTGCAAGTCGTCTTGGCCATTGTGGAGCCCAGCCATGGAGCTAACTTCTGATTTTTTTCAGCCTGGGCTGAACGTTTTGTGTGTGTCTTTCAAGAGCTCTGCTAGTCATACCAAAAACATCTCGGTTTTCAGTACCTAATAGGAGAATGGTCGCATTGGTGGCATACAGTTTGATGTGCTGACAGCCCTCCTTCCACACAGGAGCAGTTTAGGTTCTGAAGCAATGCAGCATGTGAATATTTTTAGCATTTGGCAGACCAGCTCTGTTGTTTCATTTGCACTATGCTAAGCATCCGAGGAAGGCAGCTTCCTAATCAGCTGCATACTGGCTTGGCCAGAGTGGGTGCTCTGCTCCAATCTCCTTACAGGCAGTATCCGCTCTGAGTACTACCAGTTAGGAGAGGAGACTTCCGGCTCATAAAATGAAGCATGTTCACAATCAGCATGTCAGAAAAGACAAGCTGGGTGATTTGCGTGTGCATCCAGCTGCTGGAGCACACGATGGAGCCTGGCCTTGAGCAGCACCCCCTCGATGCAAAGCTCTTTGCGCTCTCCAACGTGCTGTCAGAAGACCTGTTTCTACGTTGAAAGAAAAAGGGAAGGGTGCAAGAAAAGTTCCAAAACTCTCTCCCTTGCAATCTGGTACTAGCTTGCCCAGGGCAGAACTGACAATGTAATGTTTGTGCATTTTATTAAAAATTATACTAATTCCTTTCTTATGCTTTGTCTGGTTATGTCTTTTCATAAAAAAAACCTCTTCAATACAGATGTGTTTACAGTTTTAATTCCTAAAGCTGGTAGAAAAGTCCTTTGATGCTGGTCTTCCAAGTGAAAAAAATCTTTTTTTGGAGAATAGTCTTAGAATGGTACTACTCCATAGAACTGGTGAGGTACATTCAATATTAAATGTACTCATGTAAAAAGAAAAACCTTCAGCACCACTGGATGGGGGGAGAATTCAGTTACATAGACCCACCCATCCTGCCTTCTGAAAGGATCAGTTGAAGTCAGCTTATGCTGCACATGCACAGGGGCCTCCTGCTTTGCTTTTTTGTAACAGATTTCCAAAATATTAGAACTTGTGCTATAATAGGAAGGACACCAGGACACTTCTGGGGACTGTTTTACTTCTGTAAAGCAGCAGTTCCAGTACTGGCTAAGAGGTGTTTGGCCATTGACTGATATGCTAGCTCTACATTACTTGAGGTCTGCTTAGCAGCACCTGCTTTTAAAGCAGAGGTGAAGACAGGTGGTTTCATGGCCTTTGTGCAGTTTTTCATCCCATTCTAAAAGGCTGAAATGCCTGCCACATTACTGGCAGTCAGAGTTTTAGCCAAAATGTTCTGCTATTTGTTTAGATTCTATATTTTGATTGTGTCCCATTTGTTTCTTGGCCACTCACCAGCTGAATTTGGCCCTGAGGCTGAAAGAGGCTCAACAGTCCTAGTCTGAAGGCATGCAAGAGTTCTGATAAACAGGCCTCATCCTGAACACTACCTGGGAGCTCTATGAATAGTTAATTCTTGGTGAAAGAAAGGAACCCAAGGATGAAAAGACTTGGTTGGTTTCTTGGTGCAGAACTCTCACCTGCTTGTAAACCACTAACCCAATTTACAGTACTGTTTTTCATCTCGTCTGGAATTGATCGTAGCTGCCTCAGTAAATTTTACAAGCCTCTAACCTCTACAGCCCAATGGGAAGGCCTTGGCAAGCAGTTTCTATGTAGTTAAGACCAACTAGGTTGCTAAGTGGGCAAGACTGAATAGCAATAGAACCTCCTTTGCTTCAGTGAAAAGACTTTGGCACTGGTGGGCGAGGCTGTTTGCAAGGAGGTGCTTATGACTTGTATTAAAGAACCACTAACAGCAACTACTGAAGAGTAGTTCTCCACTGTAAACAGTACAAGAAATTTCATTTATTAAGGCTCATCAAATTTGAGGAAAGGGACTTAGTTTATCTATCTGATCAAGTACACAAGTAGTAAAACCCAGATTTTTCTTGGGTTTCCTACTGATGCAGGGGCTATAGGGAGTATTGAACCAGAGGGTAAAACCAGACATTTCAATTATTTCAGTCATTCTTCATCTAATTTTTACTCTAAAATAGGCACTGGTTACCCATCTGGATTGGACTCCCTAGTACAGGGTTGGGGCATTAAATTCTGGATCAGGCCTCTGGCAACTATACGGGGGGGGGGGGGACAGCTGCCTGAGAGACACTGAAAATAGTTTGGTTTGACCTTCGCATTGCCAAATGACTGCTATAAATTCATCAGGGACCACATTCCAGCAGAGGGCAGAAGGGTAGCTGCAGGTAGAGCAGCTGCCTTCCACTTTCACCCCACCCAGCCTATTGGCCACATCAAGCTATCTCTGGAGGAGGCTTTTTGAAGGTAGAGGGACCTGGGTTGCCAAACTTGGCTATGAAATATATGCCTTATATATGCAGTTACCCTAATGTAAAACCAGGACAAAAAAGAGCTTATTTTCAATTTCTTAAACTGGTTTTTGTTTCATCTGAGTTCTGTCTGCACCTGTGCAAGTCATTTTAAAGCTGAAAATGGCCATTTTGGAATAGAGGAGTAGGTAGGCCATGCTGAACCAAGCCAACTCCCCACAGTCACCAGCATGCCTAGGACTATACATGGGTGGGAGAAGGCTGCCTGCATTTTTAAAAATCATATCCCCACACATCCCTCCCTCCAAAAAAGCTCAATTTCTCCCAGAGAAGTATATTTAATAGATAGGATTCTTGTGTTGTATGAGGAGTATTTAAAATGTAATTGACTGATAGAGTTTGAAGGGGTACATTCTCTAGCTCTGTCACGTGACTTGTTCTTGGCAAGTCTCACCTTGAGCTTGGCACTAGAAACTAAGCTAGCCTTTTGGGACCATTCCATTCGGTGCAGTTGATAGTCTCAAAAGCCTGTAGCCTAGGGAGGGAGTTTTACCTACAGAAGACATCTTTGCTGCATATGGTTGAAATTTGTGCTGTTGCTGTACAGCTGTTCCGATTCCCATAGCAGAAAGCAGATTCTTATCTGCTGCTGAGCCACAGCTGTGAGAGGAAATGCTTCCTGCATATGATTGTTCTAAGGGACACCCCACCCCACCTCTCGGTTGCACTCGCTTGTTGCTGTGCTGAAGCAAGGTCCTTTAGCTTCCACTTTCCAACAGTTGAGAAATGGCAAAAGTTGATTTTGTGGTTTTAGAGCTGCATCAACAGCCCAAAACCTGCACCATTACAAAGCTTGCCTTGTGTTCAGAAATTGAGCAAACTCCTGGTGAAGCCACCTCCTTCCTGTGCATGTGTTAGGCTGTGCCAGAGCATTCTGCAATCCTAAGGAAGCAAAACTCCATACCATCTGCAAAATCCAACAGGAAGGGCAGTTGAATCTTTTAAGTTTCAAGAGTGCTCTTCTACTGTTGTTCTTCACCCAAAGCTTGCTTAGTGGGTTCCTGGTCCTCATTCTCCTGATTCTCAGCGTCTATCCCCCAGCTCGTAGTGGGACTAGCCCTCATCTTCAGCATTGCGATGACATCCCATGTTATTTCCTGTTACATGTACATGCTGTGGCAAGTTTATTTAGCTGTCTTGCTTTACCCTTCTAGCAGTACTTTACAGAATGCTACTCTGTCTTCCTAGTCCGAACAACCATTCCAGGTTAAGTGCTCACTCCTAAGTAAGGACCCTAATCTGCATGGAGAAGTCAGGGATCCTTTACCACGAATAGCTGAAGAATCGTTTGTACCCCTCTATGACAAAATTCCATCTTCTACAGAGTTACTAGAATTTTCCAAGCTGGTCACACTAGTAAATATATGTGAAGAGATGTGGGAGCAGCACTAGACACTTGACTTGGGATTTTATGCTGCCTCATAACCCGTCTCATAACCCAGTATGCCCCAGATGTGGCCTTGTTGGGTGGGTATTTTGAGAGCCGTGAGTTCAACAGATCTAGAGGACACCACATTAGGAAAGACTGCTCTGTGTCACCCTATAGTATATCTGTTACATAACCCTTAGCCATACATACATGTTGACTTTCTAAATTGCCAGCTTGGGCTGAAGCATGCTCACTAGCAAGTTGGTTGCTCCATTTTGAACAGAAATTACCCTTCTGTGCAACAGCCCAGCTCTGGCTGGAGCAGTGGAACAATTCGGATTTTACCCACAACCAGCAATTCTACAGCGAAACTTCTGTGCTTGTGAGGAAAGACTACTCATACTAGTTAGGGCTGATCACAGTTGGAATCTGGAGCATCAACAGGTTCCTCAGCCCTGATAAAGAACTGAGGAGACACTAATAATTAAAAATGAGTTAAGAATACAATCAAATCTACGCAGCACAAAATGTGTAGGCTAGCTTCATTAAGATTCATTTCTGAGCAAAGCTTCCAGCTTAAATCTGGGTTAAATATCCAGGCCTATGCAAGGCTCTTCATGAATGGCATCTACAGAGGATGACAAAACTATCCCTGTATGGATGTATTTGACGCAAAAGCAACTCCAAATCTTTGAATCATTAAAACCCCAGCAAGCCAAAGTTAATCTTAACACTTTCTGCATACCTGAGAGCAGCTTACATCCAAGCATCCAGCATCTTTCACTATTAGCATCTATTTGCATATTCTTTGTAAGGAATAATAGTTCCCCTAAGTGACTACCCACTTCCAATGATTCAAATTAAGCAACAAAAAAGTGGGGAATCATGTTTACGACTGTTGAGTAATTCAAGGTTTTTCTCACAGCCTATGGAATTCTGGCCTCTTAGCCGCATCCATCACTGAAAGCTGTGTATGACACAAGCATAAATCCAACTGGGATCTGAGCCACGTTTGTTCAGTGGGCATGAAGGATGGAATCCTCAGTCCACGTGAGAAGCACTTCTTCTGTGCTATTGTGGATTTGTTCCTTAGTGAACAGGAGTGGATTTTTGCATAGGGTTCTTAACATACCCATTGCATTTTCTGAATGTTAAGATCTGATTTATTATTATTATTATAACATTTCTATGCCGCCCCTTGCCGATTTGAGGGCTCCAGACAAAAATATAGATAAGCTTTATTCTCAATAGTCCTAACCCCCCCCCAAAAAAACTAAAAAACAAACAAAAAAACAAAAACAAAATATGGGATACAAATCTATGAAATTAGGAATGAGAAACGCATGGTCCTCCAGCTGTTGGACTGTAGCTCACCATGGGCTATGCTGGAAAGAGCTCATGGAAGCTGCAGTCTGACAACATCTGGAGGACACATTCCTTAGTCCTCTACTGAGCAAATATATGTATAAATGTAAGATGAAAATCAAACATACAGTATGGATTTAGCTTTTGTGTTGTAGAGTCCCATGTTATCCAACCAGTTGATGTAAAACTCAGGTGTGAACTGCTAAAAGGCATACCCCCGCCCACCCTGCCACTGTCCCACAAAAACACTAGTACCAGTCACAAGGATAAAATACTTTTTTTATTTATAGTCTTATAGTAAAGGGAAGCCTTAACTTGCAAGACAATTCTTGGGCAGTATGTACAACATACTTCAGTTCCATGGAATAGACTCACACCTGGACAGAGACCAAGCTACACTTGTATACACTAAATTCAGAAAACGTCACAAACAAGAGTGGGAAAAAGACAAAAAAAAATCAAACCATACACACATGCATGCACACGCCCGTGCACATGCACACATACATACAGAGGCCTTTGCTCACT